GAGAGAGAGAGAGAGAGAGAGAGAGAGAGAGAGAGAGAGAGAGAGAGAGAGTATTGTTTATTTAGTAAATTCTAGTAGTTTAGAGATTTTGATATTTTTTGTAAAATTTAAAAGAATAATTCAATAAATGGTACAACACCCAGTGCAGGGAGTCAGAAAGATGAACGGGAATCTCTGATGACTTGGCAGAGAGAAAGAGGGGAGGGATTGCAAGGTCAGGATTCAGCAGACAGGCCTAGTCCTTGTGTAAATATGCTTTATGTAAAGCTGTTAATAAATTTTCTTGTGGGTTCTTAAAGCAAACCATTTTTTTTTTGGGGGGGGGGGGGCCTCCTCTTCTCAAACAGCAAAAGCGAGCAGCTTTAAAAGTTTCTAATTATGCATATTCACATGTGCTGGGGTAACCCTGGAGAAGTTACAGGCTGTAAATTCAGCTTTCTGCAGGGGATTTAATGTATAATTTTCTTAGATTTGTGGGACATTGTAGGGGAATTTTTTATTATTTTTTTTTTTTTTGCCCTGGCTTAAATCGAACAACGCTTCACAAAAGAATCTCTTCCTTTATCCTCTGTGGCATCAACTCACCCATTTTCATCCTTGACTTTGCTGAACTGTCCGCGCCTCTCTCTTGTTATTCCATTAGATTGTTTCCAGTGATTACTGCTTCTCCCCTCTCTCCCGAAGCCTTCAGTCTCACGGCCCCTAATGTTGTCAAGTCTTCCCCCTGACCTCTCTATTTCTGCATCCATCTCTCTGCCTCGGTCCGTGTGCCAAACGCTGTCACTTCCTCACCTCTCTGTCTTTAGTTTCCCAGAGCTCAGCTGTCAGCTGTCACCTTACTATGCTGTTTCTATCACATTTTAGTTCCTACCCTCCTCATTTCTCAGCTTAGGAGGAGAATTAAAGGTATTTTATTATATGGTGAATTATCATTTTATTATTTTTTGTGTTTGTTTGACTTTGATAAAGATAAGATCAAAAGGTTGGCCTTTTTTTAAAACATTTCTAGGCTGGTTAAACATTAAATAAATGACTAACAAAGGGACTGCTACTCTCTTCTTTACTTTCATTTATTGTTCCCCTTTTTTAAAATCAATGACTCTGTCATTGCATAAACAGGTAGTTTCCTTGACTTTCCTCCCATTAAAAACCTGACAATAGTCTTACAGTTATTATTTGCTCAGGACTAACTTGTTCAATTTGCTTTAGATAAAGTARCTCAATAATATTTATTAGAAGATTGACATATTTCAAATACCACCTGTCAGTAATCTGTTATTTTACCATATTTGCTCCGTATAAACTTGTTTTTTGTTCAGTTTTTTTCTTCACTACATTCTCCAACTTTTCCTTTTAAGTTGCAAGTGTTTGTGCATGACCTAATGCACTCTTATAAAACCTGCTGGGAAGTTTACCCGCAATAATCACCACAGACTGGCACGAGCGCTTAAGAACATGCGCCCCAACACTTCTGCGGCTCGACCCATGCTTGAGCAAAWGCGGATTTTTCAGAAAAGTCGCCATCAGAACACTTTAAATGCAATGTTTGAGAGAACGAGGACGAAACTTTAAAATTAAATCCACATATCAAGGGCATTAAAGCATGAAAGTTGAAAACACGTCGACTTCACKCGCTGCACAAATACCCAAACACTTTATACAATTTATACCACTGGTTGCTTTCTTTTAAAGCCAGCTAAGATGACTCATAAAGCTGAGCGCTCAGTGGAACAAAAACTTAAACCCGGAGATAAAACAAAAGGCTCAGAAAGCTTAGACTCATTAATGTCTCTGTTCATGGAGCAGATATGAACACAACACTCAGGGATGATCGTAGAAAATGAAGTTAGATGGAGAGTAAATGCAGCTTGCTGCAATCAAAATTATAATTAATATATTTTCATGGGGAAAATGTCAGGAAGCCTTAATTCTAAATAATTTCCAAACCAAAACAATGCRACTTTAAGGGTTAGGATATGGTTTTGAACCATTTCCTGCAGAACTGCAAGTTCTGAATGACAAATCACTTCATATTCTTTACTGTTCCATAGTTCTTCCATATTTAAATAATTGTGCAGTAGTTTGGGGCAATAATTATAAAACTGTTATACAACCATTCATTTTGCAAAAGAAAGCAATAAGGATAATTCATGGGGCTGGATGTAGGGATCATACCAACTCATTATTCTTTTTGTCAAAACTACTAAAATTTACAGATCTGGTAGAAATACAAACAGCACTAATAACATTTAAAACAAAAACTAATTATTACCAGGCAATATTCAGAAATTATTTGTTGAAGGGGAGGGGAGTTATCATTTAAGGCACATGTGTCAAACACAAGGCCCACGGG